ATGTGCAGACTTAAAATCATTAGCATGTCAACAGGGGCAAGCAAGGAGGCTAGAGGTCCGTTTGGTTCACAGTTGGAATTGTAATTGGAATTGCAATTCCTTGGAATTAGAACCGGAATTATCTATTCTCATAATTTGTTTGGTTCAAACAGAAATTGGAATGAGGATTAGAATCAGTTGGAATGGGATTTCATTCCCAAGGGAGGGGGAGGAAATTGTCATTCCCATAAATGAAAGAATGTCATTCCAGCAGGAATGGGAATGGGATTCTGATTCTGTTCAACCAAACTGATGGAATTGAAATGGGCCACTCCAATTCCAATTCTAGACTCCTATTCTTGCAAATCAAATAGGCCCTAAGTAACCAATTCCTTATGGTTGGAACAAGGCATTGGAGTCTGTACCTACCCAGTATTATTTAGGGCTTGTTCATTTTCTTTTAACTCTTATCTTTTAATTTCAAGAGGAAAATGGTTGTTCATTTCTTCTTATCTCTTACTTCTTAATGTGCAATCATACAACTTTTTATTTTCCAATGGTAACCCCAAAAAGACAAACAAAAACTCTCATATATGGGGTCAAAATGCAGAGAATATTGTTCTGAACTCTGAATTCCGAAAATTATCAAATATCCATTTTGACCCCATATATGAGAGTTTTTGTTTGTCTTTTTGGGGGTATCATTGGAAAATAAAAAGTTGTATGATTGCACATTAAGAAATAAGAGATAAGAGGAAATGAACAACCATTTTCCTCTTGAAGTTAAAAGATTCCTCTTCAAAGATAAGAATTTAGAGGAAATGAGCAAGCCCTAAATAATACTGGGTAGGTGATCTTCTAAAAAGCATCGTTAACCCTGACACCCTGTCCCCATTTGGAAAAAAGAAGAACCAAAGTAATTTAATTTATTCTAAACAAATTTCTTTGTAAGCTAATCCATATTTCAGGCCTACAGAGCTATTCATCTAACCAAAAGCTTAGTTGATTTGCTTTTCTAAACACTTTTAATGTCTTGGAGTAGGTTTTCCTAACATGTTAAATGGGATGGAATCTTTCAAATATTGGATGAGTTCAAGCATGTGCCCTAAGACATTTCCTTGCCTATTTATAAAGGAGAAAGACACTTTTAAACCTGCATAAGCTTCTAATATATCTTTACACAGAAAAAAAAAATCTTTTGCATCTCCAGATGAGAATCAGCAAGCGTCTTAACTAGAGACAAACATTCACTTTCAATGATGACCTGGTCAGAGAACTCCTTAGCAGTTGAGACATGGACCTGTCAGAGAATAAAAACCTATTTAGGGACCTCAGTTAACAGTTTAAGCTTTTTAGGTTAAGTGATTCTTTGATAATCAGTTTGACCCAAGTGATCTAGTGTTCCATCCTCGTCACCCTTATTATAATTAATTAAATTTCAGCAGGTATAGATGGGTTTATGATTGTCCAAGCTTGAAGACCAATAGGCTATTAGGCTTCCCCATAAAAGGGGTGTATTATATAATAAAAACTCCTAACAAGGCATAATAACATAAGCCCATTAGAGCCTCCCTTGTTGAAAAAGATCACGAGCCCAAAACTTCTTGATTGATGGTGCTGATGCTGTTTCTCGAGAGACACCATGCCACCTGTTTGTCACCAGTGGGTTTTTTCGATTCCTCTCTGGCATGAGATCCGCCTCAACCCCAACAAAATTCTTAGTATAGATAACCATAGCACCCATAGAATTGATAGAAATATCTGCAATGGTATTCTGCATTTGAGCCATTCCCACCTCCTGTTCCATACCTTCCAATCCCTCAAACCAAATCTGAAGACGAAATGGCTATAAGAAACCTCCCCCGACACTACTGGCGTTGGCATTAGGAGCATTCCTTGGTGCTATGAATGAACAGAAAGAAAAATCATCAGTATCATAGAAAAGAATTTAATATAGCCCATAAGGATCTTACAAACTAGAAATGACAAAGCAAAAATATTCTCCACTGTCTGTGCAAAAGATTTTTCTATTCAAAACCAGATTGTCGAGACTGGCAATCCGCTTCTTCCTCAATAGATCAAACATTGTTGACACATTTATATCATTGTTGACACTAACAAATTCCACCACTGAAAAAAAAAAAAGCTACAGATTCTATAGCTTGTAAGAACTTATGATCAAGATTACCAACTTTGAGTTGTCAAGAGTTTTAAATAACTTGGGACGTCCCTCATACAAAGAAACTTCTTTATTTGTTCTATTGTAGTTGGGAGAATGAAATTCACTGTTTCCAATTCCAATCAAAACAACAATATTTAAAATTGGAAAGGAAGCAATGCTTCTGCTATTTCTTATCAACGTTGCAGACAAATTCATTCAAAATTACAGTGGGAACAATAGAGTGGTGGCTTAATTTCTACAATACCATCACCAAAGCAACAAGCATTGAAGCTGGGAGATGAAATTAACTCTTCAGGACGAGCATTTTCAGTCGGCCTCGAACGTTTTCGCCCAAGGAAACGTTGATATTTTAAGCAGAGAAGTTACGAAATCTGCTGGGGTTACTCCGTTGCAGGACGACTTAACAGAGGTTACTAGAATGCTGGCAATATCAAGCAAAGCTTCTGCATCCGCCACTTGTTCGCTAGGATTCCGAACTGAATTCCCAAGGAAAAATCAACACATTAAAGAGTTTAATTAGACAAAAAGATGCAAAGGATAGGATGTCAATGGGCAGAGAAATCAATTTCAACTGCAAAAGACCATTTTCGATCAGAGCAACATTTTCTGCAGGAAAAGAAAATAAACAACGTCGTTCCTCCTTTGCAGCTCAAAATCTTGTGAAGATAATGTGCTTTTATATGCCAGTACAAAATTTTGGAATATGGTTCTTTCATTCGGTGGCATTCAGAGAAGAACCTCATGAAATACTGTTACATAACAAGTTGAGAAGTTGTAATTAAAATACCTAGCTGATGCATGATTTCGACTCTGATTGATAAACGTCTTAAATTTATCGGAATCCACTCGAGAAATGTTGTCTCTTTCATCTGCAATGTATTATAAAAGTAGACATTAAGCAAATCTCAAACCTGCGACCGAGCGAAGAACTCTACAAGACCCCCTGCTGACCAGAGTCGTTCATCTGGGCTCCTACGTTCTCTATCTTATTCCCACTCGCCTGTTCGCGTTTGATCCTGCGAAGCTCTCCCATATCGTCTGTGATACTCCCACAACTTGCCGGTTCGCGTTCCACTGCTTTCACAATTCTGAACATAGTTTCTAATACTCAATGAAGCACGAAAGAAGAAAGAGAAGAACAATAGAGAAACTGAAATCAAGTAAAGGTAGAGATATCCGAACTCCTCAATAGAAACCCCAATGAAACACAAAACCTGTAGAACTAAAAAGAGTAAGAACCCATGACTGAGAATGCCTAACACTGAAAGAAAGAGACAGAAAAGGGGCAGAGACAAGACAACAAACGAAACCTTCCAGTTAGAGGTTCTGTTTATCATCTATTCGCCATTAGAAAGCGTATACTGTAACTGTATTACGATTGCTCTATTCTCCTTGCCGGGAAAAGAGTGAACAGTGAAGCATTAATTCCCTCAAGCTATAGTGACCAAGACATCTCAATGGGGGCGAGCTACCGAATCTCAGTTCTCAGAGAAAAGAAGATGGCTACCAAATAATGATTCTAATGTTCGAGACGTCAAGGGAGTGATTGATCAAAATAACCGTCTTCTGATCAATCGTTCTGGTTCGTTATTTACTTGTATTTTGGCAGTTCACAGTTGCCACCTTGTAAGTGGGCTTGCCAAATATCTTGGTCCTGGGCCTAGATGCAAACTTGTAGCACTGAAAGCCCAACAAGAACATTCTAGTGGTGGGCCGATTGGGCCCATTTCCAATGGACGTATCATTTATGTAAGCTTTGGCATTGTTTGACGCCAAGCCTCATGCAATTGCAAATTCCTGAACGTTGGATCTGGATCTCCTACAATGTTTTCCTGCACTTCCATTTAATTTCTGAATTCTGACACATGTCAACAAGCAAATGTTTCTTAGATGGCGCATGAGCCCAGAGCCGTAACAATGATGGATTGATGGCCACTCTAGTTAACATGGGCCTGGGGATTCTGGGGCAGAAATGATTTGGGCTGGGCTTTGGGCTTCTGGGCCTCTGGGGCGGTCCAAGCCATTTTAACATAAATCGATTGATGGATTGGACGGCTGAAATCTTTTTAACCTTCATATAAAGGTACATGTAATGAAGTTCAGTTAGTATGCAGCTGCCACTCTGCACGTTCAAGATGTTGCCAAATGGAGGCTATCACATGCAATAACACGTGATAGTCCTCCCCGTATGGCCGAATGGAATGGAAAGTGGAAACAAGATGAGAGCGCTTTCAAATTTCAACTCAAATGCCAAGCGGAGTGGAAACAAGAGACGTCAGAATTCAAAACCCGTGTCCAGGTTCAGGTGGGTAGCTTAGCTGTCAGCCGATAGTGAGGAGGAATCGACGTTCGACAGCCAGATCGGAAATCAGACTTCTGGACCCGTTTTTTTTAATTTTTGAAATTTGAGAAGGCGGGTGCTACTGCTGGTGCTGGGTAGGTGCATTGCACTGCCACGTTTCTCGGTTTTTAAAATTTCTAGTATCCTCACCTCATCATCATCACCTATGTTCAACAACGTTAAAATAAATCCCCACTATCCTCCCCTAATTACGAACAGCCACCTTCACATTTGCATCCACATACATTTTCGTAATTTTTCTCTACAATAAGGAGGTGGTTGTCTTTTTCTGGTAGCGGGGTCCAGCCAAATTTGGCGGATTCTTCGCTAAATTGGCCTCCGCTACCAGGGTTTCCCACTTTTAAATACGGCGAGAACCTGCTAAACCACCTCACTTCAGTGATTCAGTCGCCGAAGGATCAATTCGCATATTGTAAGAAGGATCTCGCGATTCAAGGCGATTTAGGGTTTTGTACAGGTTGAGCGTCCCGCAAAAAGATGAAGGCATCTCTCAAATTTCGAGAGGATCAAAAGCCCCTTTTCAGGGCGAAGGTCCCTCTTAGTGTATTGGGGCTTCCTTTCCAATCCAGTATCTCGGCCGGCGACTCCAAGGAGCTCTGCTTGAACCTTGGTACTTTGTTTGAACGGGGGCCCTCCTTCAGGATCGCTTATCGCCCCAACGATTCATGGAACCCCTTCAGTATCGTCGTCAAGACCGGAATTGGAAGCTTCGGTTCTCCTATTTCTGCCCCCATGACAATGAGCGCCGAGTTTAATCTGCTTGGCCATGGTAATCCGAGTTTCTACATCCAGTTCAAGCCTCGGATCGGCGACTTCTCAATCAAGAAATCCACTAGTTCGCACATCTCTCTGTCGTCACAGCCTTCGGTTTTCGGCTCAAAAATCAAGCCAAACGGGATGAATGTCGACTCCGAAGTGGAAGACTCGGGTTTGGGCGGGGAGGTACCGATCGCGAACGGCACTTACAGGCCTGAAAATGGCGTCTTTTTTCACAAGAAGATAAATGGTTTGTTACCGGAAACTCATGCCACCAATGCGATCGACGGTCTGTTTTCGGGATTAGAGTTTAGCGCAAGCACCGTCCTGCCGGTGAGAAATCGAGCACTGCTGAAATTCCGGTGGGGCCTCAAGTTCCCGCCGGAGCTCAGGGCTGCATTCATCGAGGACGGGATCGCAAGCTTTACAGATCGGATTTCACTGCGCAAGTTTCCGTTCCTAGCTATGAAAAAAATCTCTATCGAACACGTGGCGGAAGATGATCGAAAGAATGCGACGAAGTGGGGTCCGGGTTCTCTCTTCCAGGCAAATGCTGATGTGACCGAATCGTGCTTCACTATAAAGCGTCAGCTCGAGGTGATGCAGGCAGAGAATCGCTCGTTAAGAAAGGCAATCGAAGACCTGCTATCGGAAGTCGGTGCCGGGAAGCAAGCCCCGGGTACTAGAATCCAGGAATCATTGAAGTACAGAGAGACGGAGAGGAGTGGGAGCGGGAAATCCTCGGGCGATAGAAATGAGCGACGGAAAGGGGAGAGAAAGATACCGGAATTTGGTGGTGGGTTCGTCACCGGCGATAAAGGGTTGGATGGGGATATCAATGCAGAATTGAAGAATATGGGTGGTGCAATCTGAGATCAGCGGCGGAGCAAGCATTCTCCACCATTACTATATAAGTAGGTTTCGTAAGCTAGATATACACAGTTATATAAATGGACTGTAATATGGTATAAGTTGCATTAGCTTGTGCGCATTGTGGATTGAAGAAATCAAATTTGTTATTCTTTTCTGGTAAAAAATGTTTTAAACTAGTAAAATATAAGATGTTTTATATTTGTTTACATGTATTTTCTAAAGTCTAAATTGTTGGCTTGGCTCCTCCCAAATTATTCAAATAGGAAATCAAGAGAGAGGCAGAGATCCAACATGTTAATAGTGCTCAAAAGATATTTGGAAAATAATTTCAGTTTCAGGGGAAAATTTTCAATTTCCGGTTCATTTGCCGTCTTCGTATTTACAATTTGAAAATAAAATTCTAAATGCAGAGTTTTAATTAGGGTTTAAACCTTTAGAGGTTATATTTCTCTTCTGAATCTGATTGTAAAAACTTTTGTTATTTGGGGTGGCTCGGTATTCATCGCTGGGATGGTCGATGTATTTGCTGGTCGGGTGGCAACTAGGATAGACCGGTCCATCAAAACTACTCTTCTGTCACATCAATCATCATCATCATCATCAAAACTCAACTAGTGTAGAGTAAAAAAAAAATCAAATTTTCTTAACCCGCCACAAATATCTTTTGCTTTCGTCCACTCTGGAGTCTGGAACTCGTCTCTCACACTCCCTCTGCTTTGTTTCGTCTCCCTCACCTCTGCTGCAATCAACCGCCGAACATTTTCAGCCCATAGAATATTTCCGCTGCCGCTCATTCCTCTCCCCTAAGATCACTTTCAAATTGTTGCTTGTTCCTCTCACCGAAGACCACTCTCAAGTCTCAACCTGTTCCTTTGCAACCACTAATTCACTTCCACAAACAGACTCTTCAGTCTTCAAGGATGATACGAGTTTGGGATTGAGGAAAAAAGTGTAGGAGATCCAGACCCCACTGCAAAACGGCATGTCCGCATCTCTATTTTGTCAAGTATGATGCTTGGGAGATTTTGGCATGGATGCCTATTGCCCAAGTAAAATTTGAACTTGGACTTAGTAGTCTCAGTTCTACCAAGCCTCTCCTTAGGTTGTAGCTTGCAGGTTGGTGGTGTTAAAACCTTTCTTAACGCAACACTAACCAAGAAACTTGCTTGGATAGGGAGTATTCTCTGCATAGTATGTCCTGCTAGGAGAAAAGGAGGTTGGGATCCTTTTCTTTGTCTCAATGTCTTCCCACTTAGCGAGGGAGTGGCGTACATCACACAAGTTCTGATCTCCATTTCTATCGTGTGAGCAAGTGATACAGAGTTTAATCTTCTCTGTCTACATCATTCCCTCCTCCTCTTCTTATTCTTTTTTCTCTTTCTCACCATTACTATTCACTGTTTGGTCGGAACCGATATGGTCCACTCCGGCCGCTTCAATGGACTAATCAACCATCCTTCTTTCTGCCTATTATCATGTCGCCAATCATTCTGTTCCGTGTCGGGCTCGAGGGCTATTGCAGTCTGCAGACATTCACTGCTGCATCTATGGAAGAGCAACTAATCCATTTCAGTTTTGACTTTGACTTTAGAGGCAAAACACCCATCCCCATTGAAAGAAACTCCATGTCCAACCACTTTTTTTAATTTGCTTACAAGTTGAATCAATGCATCGAATGAATGCATGGTATTCTGCGGGGATTTGGGATCCTTTGTCTCCCCATATTGACATTTTATTCTTCATGTTTCATTTCAATCAAGTGGAAAAATTATATCAACAGAATAATCGCTGAATCATTGGAAGTTGAGCTTAGATTTTCGACTCTTTAAATTAGGTTGACGTGCATGATAGAGAAAAATAGAGGAAAAGTTGAAGGGAAAGATCGAAGAGTATTTGCGGGGAATAGAAAAAAAAAAAAAAAAAGCGGAAGAGGGAATGAGGCAGAAGGGGAATTATCCAAATGTGAATTCGAATTTGATCCCCATTAAGGGAGATCCACATTAGATTCATTTATAATTGTATTAATTGTTAAATATGAATTCAACCCTACCCAATCATATATGCTCATATACATTGAAAATTTACAGTAGAGTTGATTTGAATATTGTATTTTTTTCCCCGTTTTCATAGCTTCAAGTTTCATATAAATAATTTTGTTCATAAAAATATAATATTAAAGTAATTTTTGTTCACTTTTATTTATATCATTTTTATTTTATTTATTTATACAATTCAATATCCCTACCATTATGGTTCCAATCTGGATCTACTATCCGATCCTATGGAATCCATTTGCAGAATTTGCAGCATGTGAATAACAAAGCAAGTCGTTTGTGCCCTGGTTAATGATCACAGGAAACCTGGTTGTGGCCAAATCACTTTAGCTAATATGGTATATGGTACATGCAGTAATTTTTGTTGTCTTACAAGGAGTGGGATCTGCTCAACAAAAATTGGAGATCAATTCAGCCCCCCACAAGATTGCCACCCACAACGTCCCACAGTACATTCCCGCCATGTATGGGAACATCTCCCGATGATAACATCAGAAATGATGATGTCATCATTGGTTAATATTCCCAATATATGGCAGGGATATGCTGTGAGACGTTGTAGGGGGCAATATCATCTATGCCCTACTCTGGATCTGCTACCCACCAAAACTCTATTTATACCTACTCACAAAACATCACACATAATAACATACATGCACAGGAAATGTTATGAGATGTATAGTGTTCCAACACAATTTATTTTGTTGGCACAAAGCCCCGTGTTTAGATCTTTTGCAGTAAAGTGCGGCTGAAGGCTGAAGCATCTTGAGGATGGAGTGAGTGTTGGTATAAGAGCGTAGATGGAGAGTCGTTTGTTTGTAGTGTGAAGAAATCAAAGAGTTGAACAAATTCAGGGCCTATTTGATACGTGGGAACAGGGGTCTGGAATTGGAATCAGAATGGGCTATTCTGATTCTAACTGTTTGATTGGGTGGAATTGGAATCCCATTCTTATTTCTGCTGGAATGATATTCCCATATTTGAGGGAATGGTCATTCTCTGCCCCTCGGAATGAAATCCCATTCTTATTCCTGTTGTAATGGTATTTCCCTATTTGAGGGAATGATCATTCTCTGCCCCTCTCTTGGGAATGAAATCCCATTCCTGCTGACTCTCATTTCTATTTCCATTCCTGTCTGAACCAAATACACTATGGGAATGGACCAATCCAATTCCAATTCCAAAGGATTTCGATTCTGATTCAGACTGCAAAACAAACGGGGCCTCATTATTTACTAGCATTTTTCTTAATGTGGTTATTAACTTGTTATTACTGTTTTTATAACAAACCACCTTCATATTGAAAAAAAAAAAAAAAAAACTCCAGGCATGGATGTGTGTAAATATTCCAATATTAAGAGCTCTCTGAAATCAAGGAAAGCAATGCCATATTCGGATAAGCTTTTGTATTTATTCTTTTCACTTTCAAAAACAAAATCAGGCAATTAATAACATTGATAGGAAAAAAAATCAGGCAATTAATTTTTTTAATGGTTGGTAGTGAAAACAGTGATGGTTTTCCAAAGCACGAGTATAAAACAGAAGTCGTATAAAACACATTAAAAAACAGTGTACCAAAAAATAAAAACACATACTACATTTTACCCAGTAAAATAAACAAAGCAAACGCAAAACCCCATATTAAAAGTAAAAACCTAATTGATTAAAGGTCAGTTGAAGTTAAAACCCACAAGGGTATTTGGGGGTGGGTAGTCGCACTCGCACATATGCGTGGAAAGCAATTGCAACTGCTGAAGAACTGTGAAATACATTGCAAAACAAACCTACGTCTGTCCTAGAAGGAATGAATTGATAGAAAACGATTCAAATCTGAAAAATCGACCTCTTGTCATCCACACAAGATTTGAAAATTAAAACGACTGTTGCAGAGATCTACGCTGTGTTTGGAACCGTGGGCTGCCATCGTCACTTCAGCATTTAGCCCATCATGCTGATCTGTACATATAGAGACTTGCAAAAGCAGGCCTCCATTTCTGTAAGCGCCTACCATTGGTGGAAGCTTCATGATGAGGGTAAATTTGGCCCTCCAGTGAAATTGTGACATGTGGCACCTCGTGACAACTACGCAAATACCCAGGCAAACAACTTACCAAGTTGGTGTCCCACCCGGGCAACGGTCTGGCTGGCCTGGCGCGACCTGCACGCGGCCTACAGGCGGCCTGCACGCGGCCTGGCG